GTGCCCTCGATTCGCTGAGCCAGCAGCCTCTTCGACCTGGATCCGATCTGCCCTGACCAGCTAGTTCCGCTACCTACATACCTACGTCGCCGTCGCTTCGATGCTTCCTCTCGCCGTAGTGTTTTGACTTCACACACCCCGGATATTCGACCAGAGCTCTTCGTCTCTCGCTGCCAACGAGCATTTTTCTTGGATAGCTAGACGTCTCGGCTGGAATAAATAGCAAGCGGATCGTGAAGCTACGGCGCCAGTCGACAGTCGACAGACGCTCTAGTTAGTTGGCCGGTTTAACTAGCTAGCCAGTTGGTTGGCTGGTTAGTTGACGAGTTAACCTATGAGCTGACTGGGGTGGGAGTAAAAAACATAGAGGGATGTCTAAATATAACTAACTCAGGGGCGCAGCCAGAGGGCGCGCCGCAGTGCAGACGGCGATCTGGGCGGCCAGCGCTGCATCAAAGACCGCATAAGCAGTTCTAGAGTTGTATTCGAGTTTCCTCGGAGGTTCGGCTAGTCAAACGAGCGACCCAGCTGGTGACAGACTGGCTGGTGCTGGCTGGTCGAGTTGGTGCTGGCGATGGAGTCCTCCATCGTATTCAGCCTCGGCGGGATAGCAACGGCACAGCAGCATAACTAGTTAACTTAGCTAGTTAGCGGACCAAGCTCGCAGCAGGCAGCAACAGCAGCCAGATAAACACGAAGGCTGCGTTAAGTTGAAGATGCAGTTGTTTGTCGGTCAAAAGGGTGAGATGCTTGAAGCTGAAGCTGAAGTCGAAGTTGAGGTCACGGGAAAGGCAAAAGTCACTTCACTGTCAGAATTGGTGTGAAGATACCCAGCAAGCCAGAGTTGAGACTTAGGTCTACTCGCGGATGGACACTTGAGATTTGATAGACGGTGATAGATACCCTTCTGAAAAAATGCCCAGTTATGGGCAAGTATGATAATTTCTAAATCTAAAGCAAAGAGAATCAAGGATAGACACAGGGTCTAACAATTAGGGAGAAGAGAAAGAGCACAGTAAAGGAAAGACAGAATATAGAAGAAGAGCTGGCATGGCAGTCTTAAAGCTCAGCTACTTGGTAGCCGCAGGATGGCTTGTCAAATACGGACACAGACATAGTATCCAACTTCAAGCATCTCGCAGTCACGTCCGACAGCTGGATTCCACCTAATGAGCATCTCGGGGACGATATGATGCTTTCTGCAAACGCCCACACACGTGTCTCCCTTCTTGATCAGTTCAAACGACTTGCCTAGGTCGAGTTAGCAGCCTGGTTGAGCTAGATCTTGGAGAATCGAAGGAGATAACTTACAGCCTGGGTTAGTTCCTGGCTTGGTGGGAGATGGCCAGTCCTGGACATCGCGGGAATGGATGTCTACGGCAGCAGAGGGAGTGTTTAATGAGCCGGTTCTTGGGTCTCTTCTTACGCAGATTCGGGTATTGGCAGGGAGGGCAGGACAGGCGGGACCAAGGTTGCTGGAAGGCGTTGGTAAGCCATGTATAATCATGGGGAAGCAAAAGGTGCGCACTTACGGGTTCAGTTTGAGCAACTCGCTGAGACGAAGTCCAGGATACTGCTTGACGACAGTGGAACAGGTGTCTCCGGCCTTGACGGTGTGGAATTGCTTGCATCCCAGGATGGGAATACTGACGGGGCTGGGGGTAGAGGCAGGGACGTTGGCATCGCGCTTGGTGTTGGTAGCAGCAGGTGGTCTCAGTTCGGTGGTCATAGTGGTAGGGTAGGCAGCCCTGTTATTCGTCATTTCATTGGGTAGGTTAGGGATGTGTGGTGGCATGAAGGGTGGCTCGGAGCGCGGTTCTGGCATGCCAGTTCCAATGTGCTTCATCATCATGGTATGCGAGGGCATTCCAGTAGCCATTGGTGATTTCGCGACCAGCTTCTTGCCATGGCCACCATTCCCGCCGAGTTTCCAGCCCGGTGGAGGACCTTCTTTCGGTCCATGAGGCCCATCCCATTTTTTTGCAGGATAGGGCTCACTACGCTTCCTATTCCTGTTACCAAGCTCAAACCCGTCCTGGAAGAGACCTGGCGGAAGAGGCTTTGGGCCATTTGGCCCTGGGGGTGGACGCTGGCGAGCTTGCTTAGTGGCATGAGAAGGCAGGAATGCACAGTAAGACGCCTTGCTCTGGATGTTTGAGCAGTCACCATTAAGCTGGGGGTTCTGCAGCGCATTTATGTAGTTAGTGTGGTGGACAGCTCAATACGTAGCAAGCCGAACAGGTGTAAACAGTACCCAGAAGATGAATTGTCTCTTGGCGACGTTGATGGTGTCCAGGAAGGCATCGCAGGTAAGCTTTCCCGCCGCATCGACGACATTTATCCAGGATGTGCAGCCCTTGTGAACTTTCGGGTCAACTGAAAAGGTAGGGGTTCTGGAATGGTGCCATTCAGGGCTACCGGCCTGGACAAGGGCGACGGCCACCAAGGGCAGAAGGGCGTATTTGACCATGGTGATGATAGCGGCCTTGTAGACTTGAAGGGGAGTAAGAAGAAGAGGATGCTGATGAGGAACGTGAGAGAATCATGTTGAAGTGAGTCTCTTCATGGCCTTTATATAGCTCGTCTCCGGTGTACTTCTTCTGCTTCACTTTTACGATAGCGACAACAGTCATTAACTGTCTGCGTTCAGGGCCTATGTGCGATGTCCATCTTCACCCGAGATGGTAAACATCGATAATGGCGATGGATATATCGAGACAGTCTATCGCTGAAGCCGGTCAAAGAAAAGAGCGACGCCGATTCTGTGCCGCTTGGCTCAAGTAGCACAGAAGACAAAACGTCCCGCGCTCTTATTCTCATTCTCATTTCTCTGCGCTTGCGGGGTATCCTTTCGCTTCTGACAAAGCCGTACAGCGCAACTTGGGGCTTGACAGGTTGCATGTTTCGGGGTATCTCCTGTCGAGGCAGTAAAGAATTAACCGACAAAGAATCAACAAACAGCCAATTAACCAGTTGATTATTGTCAATTTAATACCGCGTAACCGTTAAGTCCAACAACCTTTTCAGCCGGATCACTGAAAGCGCGCAACTTGTTGCTGTTGGGTGCTGCGATTACGAGCATCGAAACTCTTAGCATCAATATCAAGCTCAATAACTATCATTCGCCAGGGCAAGGCAGAGAGACGAAGCTCGCCGATGTATCACCATCCGCCTGCTTGTGCCTGCCTGTGGAGTGTAGTCTTCTATCGCTGCAGTCTTTCGTAGCACTACTCGATCTGCGACTCTTCCACGCTGGTCATATCCTTGGTTGTGCAAGTCGAATTTGCTGTAACTAAATAACTGACATGGTATCAGTTAACCAGATAGTCAACTATCGGGCCAAGTCGCACTGTACGCCCATGCTGAGAGACGACAACCTATATCTCGTCGATATTTGAGCAACCAGGGCAAACTCGACTGCCTGAGATATAGCTACCTAGATGTACACAATCAAATGTTTTGACAACTGGCCAAGTGTGTTGGATATGGACAATCTCCGGCATTTGTGTCAACTTTGGCAATTAGCCAACGAAGCTAGAGTGGAACGGATGAAACGACGGTTGTGATATTCGTCAAGATATATCCATGTCGCTCTGGGGCGCTAGATAAGTAACTCGCATGCTTCCTCGGTCTGCCTGGAGTTATTTGCAGGGGTTGCGAAGATCATGTCGCTATCAACCTTCGATAATTAGCTGGTTTCCTGGCCAGGGCCTGGCACACCTCATACCACCCAAGTAACAAGAAGACATCCACTTTTCGACTCTTCCTACCGTTCGATTGGCCCCTTGAGCAGGAAATAAGCCTCCCAGCATGCGATTGCGGGAGGAAGCTTCTGTTTGATGTATAGTTAGAGTTTGATCAAGGGCTCAGGCCTGTCGTCAACGCGGAAGACGACGCGGGCCAAAGTAGCTCCATGGCTAGCTCGACCTATACATACACTCCGTAACTGTAACTTCGTTTGTTGACCTGGACATGGTCTGGATGTATCGACGAGTAGTTACGTTATCTCGCCCCCCTCCTGGATCCTTGCAGAGGGAGATCCATGTCAATCTTCGAGAAGGCGACTGGTTTCGCGCAGTCGAAGCCGTTGTTGCACCCGCCTTGCCTTCCCCTTTTGAGCCGTAGACAAACACACTCAACGGCACATAGATAGCGAATAACTACCTGTGTGCTCCATAGACACACCCATCTCAGCTGTTCATCCCCGTGTATTCGCGGGTGAGCAGGGGAGTTGGCTGCCTAGCTGCATCGTTATAGTTATATATATCATGCCTGTTTGATCCTGTGCTCTTGTTTCTTATGCTGGCTACTGGTTCTTCGTTTTTATCCGTTGTTCATCTCGTGGGCCTGGTTCGTACGAAGACTCATGATCGTTGATAGATACCAGGGTCAAGCCGTTTGCCAGTCGTCAGTTAGTATTATGAGTATTCTGCGTCCTTTGGAATCGTGGCTGACCGTGCAAGGCCAATAGTATAAACAGACTTATCTTGCAGAATCTGTTTATTTTTCATAACAAGTTGACGCTGCGACTGTGGGTAGTTACATTGTTCTCCATCTGAGAATAAGACGGAATCCTGCGCTGTGAGATGGCTTTCCTCTGCAGCATGCCCTCAATCTCCGTCCAAGCCCGACTGTTGCTGGTAATCGCGGTATCGACCTGTTTCCTCATCACAGAGCTGGCTGTTGGATTCAAGACCCATTCTCTCGCCCTCATCGCTGACGCCTTTCACTACACGGGTGATCTCCTATCGTTCGTCATAGCATACCTCGCGCAAAAGGTATAGCGGCCCTTTTTTCCATGTCTCCTCTCTATCTTTGCCGTTTGTCGTCCTCGTCGCCGCCATCTTATTCTTATTCTACAAGCTAACGTAACTCAGCATGCATCTGCATTGGGGCGGGACGTGATCCCTGAAGAGACGGGCAGCGAACTCGAGGCCGCCGAAAACCGCACCGCAATTATCCGGATCGACCAGAAGGATGGACGCCACGTCCTGCCTCTGCTCGCGGCGTTTTTCAACAGCGTCTTCCTGCTGGCCCTGGGGCTGGCCATCTTCCTGCAGGGCCTTGAGAAGTTTGTCCATCTTGATGGTACGTCATCTTTATTCATTTCCAAGTGCCACCCCCTTATATATATTTAAGGATTGTATGGCTGACTGTTGTAGAAATCGACAACCCACAGTTGGTCTTGATAATAGGCTGTGTCGGTATCTTAACCAACGTAGTTTGTGCCTGTATTCTCGGGGCGGACGGTCATCATCACCACGGCCACAGCCATGGACACAGTCACGGTCACAGCCACGAGCATGAGCATGATCACACACACGCTCACTCTCATGAACACCATCACGATTTAAGAAGTGATGAAGAGAAGCTCTCCCATGGAACCGCGCTTTCAATGAAAGCAGTGCTTCTCCACGTCGCCGCTGACGCCCTCAACAACCTGGCCGTGATAATATCGGCGGCCATCATCTGGAAGGTCCCGTCCCAGGACCACCCTGAAGACCGGCCCCATCACGACTCAGAGCACAACCACTATGGCAGCCCTCATGCAAAGTACTATGCTGATCCAGCATGTACGGTCTTCATCGCCATCTTAATCATGGCCAGTACCGGTCCAGTGGTACTGCAGTCTGGTCGGGCGCTGGTCGCTGCTGCAACTGGAACAAGCGTCAAGGAAATACTGTCCGATACACCATCCGATACACCATCCGATACACCATCCACGGAGGTCAAAGAGGTAAAAAAAGAGGCAAAGCATAAGGAGTAGATGTTAGGAGCCGATGCTGGTTGTTGGATATACCTTTCTGTCTTGTATATATATTATAGCTTTCCTCTTTTCATTAACAGGTCAGCCAGGGGCACGATCTCTTCTTGTCATCTCTTTTATTCTCAACTCCCTATGTAAGTCACAGCTACATAGTACAGTTAAGAGCTAGAGAGAATTATTTCTTTTTCTGGGAAAACTCCTCTGCTTTCAATGATAATTATCAAATCTCCAGGGCTTGACGAGTTCTGCACGATGCTTATTTTCACAAGCCTAAGCTAAGTCATTAAAACAGAGTCATTAGTTAACTAATCCAATAAGAAGCTTGTGAATTTAAACCTTATTTATAGGAGTCTCATTGGTTGTTTTTTCTACAAAACTAATTTTTGATTGGCCATCTCCCGGCCAAATCTTGTATCAGGTTAAGGTTTCATCCTTGGCAGGCATGTGATTAACCTCGTGCCAATAAGGTTTCAGCCTCTGTAAACGCTCGTCATTGGATCAAGCGAAGATGTGATCAAGTAATTTATTGAATGGTTGATAGCATCTCTTATTTGTATTATGATGTTCATGTCCTGCAGAAGATAGACTCCTACTCCTTTGCTTTCCCCTTGCAGCTTGTCGTATGGCTCGGCCAGTTGCTACCTTCCTACAACCTGTACACAGCTTCCTAGGCGCAAAGCAGACGACACATATCTTCTGCGGGCCTGCTGGTGACCCCTGGTGCATGATCCCATCCTCGTCAAAGTTATTCTCCTGTGTCTAGCGAAGGGAACTCTGCTCGATATGCGCAGCCCCCTCTCGCTTCTCCCCTTCGGACATTGTGTAGGCGAACCATTCGGGGAACCAGTCCCTTCGACGTCGCTCCCAGCGCCAAAGGGGGCCGAGTTCAATCTCTCACTGCAAGGAAGCCATTTGACGAAGCCATAACAGGCGCGACTGCATAAGGTATGGTGCTAGTAAATAATAAACTGCTTGAGATGTTATTAATAGTATTTGCGTAAGGGGTAGACTGGCACGTTTATCTGCATTCTTCACTTTCAGGCTCAACAGTGCTATAAGTGTGTTCAAAAGAAGGATAGTGACCACAATGACATATAGAGCTCTAAGCGTCGGGCTGCTGCTGATGACTCTCTTCACTTGCCTAGGGTATTATAATTAGAGGTTATGAGCTTGATAAGCTCCGAAATTGATAGCCCAAAGTCTGAGAACGGCGTTCGGTCCAGTCCTAGGGGATCAACTTTGCAAAGAAGCAGGAACGGGACGAATGCGAATCCCATAACTATTAAAGCGAGCAGAACAAGAAAAGGTAGGACACTGTGCAACATCTCCGTTAAAGCAGTAGTAGTGTGCCTGTTGCTTCGTAGACTCTTAACATCAGGAGTGCTGTAATCCAAAGAAGCAGTGTGAGAACGCGGGCCAGGGCCTTGATGGACATCGTAATTGATGTCGCGTTGGAATATTCACTATATCCTAAAAAAATAAAAATTGTGCTTCGTGGTCCTTTAAGTAGATGATTTCCTACACCAGCCTGGTGAGTGGGCTAGCCGGCCCATTTCCACTCTTGTTAATATGCTGTATTATGGCTTCTGTGTGCGGGCTTGAAATATCAAGATAAGGATATGTAACCCAAATGAATTCCAAGAATGGATCATTACAGAAGTGTAACACTGGAGGGGCATCGAAGAGATGGGTGCCTCGAGAAAGAAAGATATCCTCAATGCCATCACAATGGAATTGTATCTTATTATCAGACGAGAAAACAAGAGGCGGCTCTTCTTATTCTCTCTGGAGCCTGCAGTTGATATGGCATAGTAGAGTGCTACTGACTTTTGCATTGTTTAGATAGAATAAGCCTCGAAGAGCTTGACATTTTTTATGCTGACACAGGCCACGATATTCCTGGCATCTGTAGAAGATATGTTCCACCTCGGCTAAGTGCTAAGGCTGAATTGGTGGATAGAAGCCGCTCAACATCTGTGGATCGCGTGTAATCCTCCTTCCAGGCGGCGTCAGGCACGTTAGAGTATCCTTAGTAATGGCTTGCATCTAGACTGAAGTGACGATTGAGTGAGCAACAGGGAGCTCGTTATCTCATTGCACGTTTTCTTGGGGAGCAGCCTCTAGTTATTATATTCATATCTCAACAGGCTCTGGTAGGGTATCGTGGCTGGGAAGAGGGTCATTCATCATGAATAGGCTGGCCTGCTGCCCCCTTATCTCCTATTTTCTCTCTTTTCTCATCCTCAAGGCGGAGAGGTCAACTGGAGGTTCACTTCTGCCCGAGCCTCTGCGGGTATTTGAATGCATAGAAAGCCCATGGCTGCCTTTACACCTGCACAGGCTCCAATTGGCTGAATGGTATCATTTTTAGGGCAATATGAGCGACATACGAGGACGAGGCTGAAAAGGCAGCCCGGTCAAGGCTCGTATTTGTATGACTAGACTTTGCCCCTGGTCCCTGAGCAGTGTTGGAGTACGAGCAAAATGTGCTGCATCTAAGGAGAGTATTAACGACTTTATAGAGGCCTGGTATGAGGAAAGCCATGGCCGTGTTTGTTGATGTAGTTAAGGATGTCGTTAAGACGAAGGAGGCTGATATGGTTGTAGTTTTGAAGTTGGCAGGCGGGAGCTGAGTCAGCCATCTGAAGTTAGCCCTACTTCCACCGATCTAGCCCGATAAGGAAGCTGACTAAATCTATCCTTTCCATTGGCCGCTTTGGCCCAGGGTGGGTCTACGGCTGAGATGCCCCTTTCAGCCTAGCGTCTCAGCTTACCTCAGCCAGATCTGTGGCTCCACGTGACGGCTAAGCCTCGCCGGCCCCGGCCGCCGACCGACCCTGGAACCTCGCGGAAGCGCGCGAAGCAAAAACGCTGACGTGACCCGGAGTGACTTTGGTTTTGCGGGGAAAGCCGGTGGGCGCAGAAGTCGCTCGTGGTCGTCCCGCCATCTCCTCGGAAACTTCGCCCTTGGGTCGCTTGCCCCTGAGAGTTTCTCCGATCTGGAGCTGATCTTGGTCTGAATTTGATCTGTATGGAAATAGCCAACTTTGCTTAACGCATGTCTCAATAAGTATGTTATTTGTCGATTTCAGATCAAGTAACACAGCATCGTTGATTGGCAGAGGTGTTAATACAGTTTCAAATAGCTGCACTCCATCGGAGAACTCGATCATACAACTACTTTTTCTAGTCTTATAAAGGTTGCGCAGTGAGGCTATGGGGGAGGCGAAAAAAAACCTGTACGGATCACAACGGCCTTGCCGTTACCTAACCTTCTGAAGTATGCCCTGCTGTGTGATCGCCAGAGTTTTCCGATCTTGTGTCTCGTCGTTTTCGCAGTCGAGCGATGCTGACTGACACCTTTGGTCCTGGCCGTCTGGCCGACTTTAACGACATTAACACACCTGGTTGCATAACTATTATACCTGCTGCATAACTAGTAATAGCGAACTAACTAGTTATGGATGCAGAAGAGCAGGGCTGTCTTTTACCGAAAGTATAGCCTCGCTCACAAGCACAGTTTCCCGCTGAGTCCCAGGCGAGACCGGCCGACCCACCACGTAGCTAGCACGATGTATGTACGGAGTAGTGTGGATGAAGATTCTTCTTCTTTTCGGCCGCAAAACGGTCCTGTTTCTGTTGCTTTTCCTGCAGCCGGTTGTTCCGGTATCTAGTTAGTTAACCCGGACAGAATCTGCGGATCCTACCTGCCCAAATACTCCGGGAGAGACGCAAGGGAGTCAAGGGCTTATCGCATCGTGGTTATTTGCTTTGAAATCAGTTAACCCACGATTGTCAAGGTGTCGTTCTCGGCTTTCTCCACTACGGAGTACCTGGAGATGTCGGCTGCTGATGACAATATAGCAACACGTTGCCGGTCTGCAGCCCTTAATTTGTGGTAGAACTGAGTTATTCTGTACTCCGTAACTAGCTACATGTCGGATGTTCGGAGGCTAGTTATATAGTCAAGTCGGCATGCCAGCTGCTTCTGGGAGCGAGTTGACCTGGTGAGAAGATGTTAAAAAGGAATCCATCTCTCTTCATGGGGATTCTGGGATAACCAAGCTACTCCATAGGAGAGTGGATGTCTTGCAGATGGAATGATGTGCTTCACTCGGGCCACGCATCTCTTAGTTATCTCCCACGAAACTAGATAACAGTCTATTAGAACTTAGGACACGGGTTACCAAGGAATGGAAGTATGCAGATATACCTCTTTCTCCTCAGCAAGCTCTACCTCACTATCCTCCATGGTCGAGAGTATATCTAGCTACTCAACCAACCAACCAGGCTCTCTATTCTAAGAAGTAGTTAGCTAAAGGGGACTAACCCGTCGAGTAACCAGCAAGGTAGCTTCACTTCTCCTTCTCCTTATACAAGAATAGAAGCCTCCCCCTGCTGGCTGCTTTGCTGGCTTTCCTTGCGGTGACTTCTCTGCCCACCGACTTTCCCCGCAAAAGCAAAGTCGCTTGCCAGCCGGTGAGTGCAGGCAGACAAGGAAGGCCAGCCGTGGCTTGTCGCCTTAGTTAACCAGCAGCAGCAGCGGCAGAGGAGACTTTTGGCAGCAAAGCGCAAGCCGTGGTCAAGGTCCAGGATAAAGAGCAAGGCCCAAGAGGAGTGAGAGCGCAAGGCTTGACCAGTAACTGAGTAAAGTAAAGCAACTAAAGCAAGTAAAGTCACTAAGAGACGCAACTTTCGTCCCTTTTGAGGTTTTTTTCCTTTGGGGGGTCGGTCTTTTCTGCCACCTCAGCCCGCTTTTCCCCTTTTGGTGTCTTCGACCTCGTCTCTTCGACCTCAACTTCGCAACCTCAACTTCACCAACATCACCAGCTTCAACGTCAACTTCGCCAACATCATCGACTTCGACATCGGTATCAACATCAATAACTCTCTGCTCTCCACTCCTCATCGATATCAGCATCTTCTACTCGCTGGAGTTGGTTCGATGACCTCGTCAACCCTCGCCGGCTGAGGTCTGTGTCAGGTAAGACAGTCGGACGGCTCCCTTCGACTCACTGCTCACTTCTTCCTGCTGCTGCCTGCGCCCTTCTCCTTCAGCCCGAGACGAAGCGGACGAACGAAGACGAGATCACTTGATCCTCTGCTCTTCTGCTCTGCTCTGCTGCCTGCCTGGTGCCTGGCGCCTGGCCGTGTCGCTCACTCTGCTCCCTCGCGCGATGGCTGGGCGGTGGACGCTCGACCGTAGTGGATGGTGGTGGATGGATGGCTGGGCTGGCGCCTAAGCTGGGCGTCGACCCTCGAGTCATCCATTAACAACACATAAAGCCTCCCCTTCTCTTTTCGCCCTTTGCTTCTTCTCTCTCCTTGCCGTCTGTCAAAACTAAATGGCTGGCTGACTGACTGACTGACGTCCTTTTTTTTTCTATCCAGACATCAAAGACGCAGACCTTACTTCTTCTTCTTCTTCTTTCTCTCTACTCCTTCTCTTCTTTTTTTTTATACTTTCTTCTTCTTCTCTTATTCTGCCTATTTTTATCTACTCACGGCTTCACCGGCCTCTTTAATCCTGCTAATGCTGCATTAATCGCTCCTTTTTCGCCAGACGAGCTACTCTTCGTCTCCTTGCTGCCTCTTATACTGCTTATCCGACCCTTCTACTTGACTCATCGAGGTACGGTATCCTTTTCTTTGGTCTCTGGTTCCTTGTCTCCACCCTAAACTCCTGACTGCCGCCCAAGCCTTTTTTCTTCTATCCCTTCGCCACATCTTTTCGCCACTTTTAGCAGATTTCACCCCCAGAGTCATAAACCATCGTCAGAGTCTTTGCTCTGGATCTCGTCTTCGTTATGTCCTTCATATAGCTCTCTCCTCTCCTCTCCTATCCTCCTCCTCCCCCCTTCTACCCTCCTCCCTCTTACTCACCTCCTCTTACTCACTTTTACTCAGCCTCCCTCTCTTATTTCCGCCATATTCTCCGTCCATCGGT